CATTTAAAAGAGCAGGAAAAATATGTATTGAAATACAAATATGTTTAACAGCACTGGCTATTTTTAAAACTACCAAAAAAGAAATTGCTTTCATTCTACTCAGGATCAAGGGCCTGTTTATAACCAGTTCCCTTCATTAAACCTTTGCTTTATAATATATGGTTGTGTCAAATACCAACATTCAATAATATTTTTTGTGAAAAGGGAGAAAAAAAAACAGTCATACTGATTGGATGGACCATCAAATAACCACTTGATGGATGAAAAGGAGAAATGGAAATGCCATCTGCATTTCCAGTACTCCCCAAGTGATCAGCCCACTGGGAAATAACAAGGGAGGAGGATTCAATATTCTCTGTATGTCTGCAAATCACTATTACACACCAAATTTTGCAGGAGATCAATACCCCTCTAATAATTCTGCCACGGATGCCAGAGCTCATTAGTAGGATGTGAATAACCATGGAGGTTGGAAATCCTATTTTACTTGTCTGTATGGATTTTGGTTTCTTACCAGCTTAGCTGGGGATTTCATGACCAGATGTTATAGTCTATGTTGAGCTCTTATTCAGGTAAAATTTCCTTATCTAAAAGTGGAGTTTTGCCTCAGCTGACTCAGCTGAGCCTCAGAGTCCTTTCTGCATTAGTTTTTACCATTACACTTGAATGAAATACACAGGAGAGCACACCAATCTGACCAGAACTATTGGTGGTACCATTCTGATCTGAGAATGGTACTGAGAATGGAATCTGTTTCTGCTTCTTTTGATCATCCAGAATTTCTTCTTATCCTTAAATGGCGTATTCTACTGGAAAAAAAACCCCAACCAACCAACCAAAGAAATGAAACCCAACACATAGTCACTTTAAAAAATAAAAGAGTGAAACTAAATCTACTTCTGTCCTCTTGCCTTAGTATTTGAACAATTTTTTCTTGTTTTGATTATACACATTTCTCCCTTCTGCCTCTTGCAAACGAAGATTCCACAGAAGTCGTGTCATTCTGACTTGCATCCTTGGTTCAGCTTTCAAGACAAAATATGTTTCAGAAGCCATTATGGTCCCAGAAGATCTATCAATAGGATTTTTCTCAAATCTGGTTGTAAAATATGATACTTCCCCTTTCATTACAGGGCTCTTCTGTCTTTAACTCTGGGTTTTGCAGGAGTTTTGAGAGGAATGAGTAGGACACTCAGGTTGATTAGGCTAATGAGTCAGTGCTGGTCAGCTCACTTGCTGTAGCCAGGCTGTTGGGACAGGACCCTGCAGGATTCTGAGCTTCCTGACGTATATCCCAAGCCAGACAGGGACACAGGACTTCGACAAAACCACCCAGGTCTACAAATCCTCATGGATGCTGAAATGCTGTGTCCAGGGAGCAAAGCCTGCCTGGCAAGAGCTGCTGTGGAGCCATGGTGCACAAAGTGCAGGAACACCAACCCAGCCGAGGGATCTGCACAGGGCTGCAGCCATGCCTTGGTTAATCCATTCCAGAGAATTGTTTAATCCCACTGCAGTGTTCCCAGTGCAACAGCTTGCAACAGGGGTGACTGGAGGATATTACTGACATGTACCCTCATTTTGCAATGGCTGGGAGCATTCACTTTTGCTGCCTGTGTTGCTCCCGGAGGAAGGTCCTTTCCCCAACGCTGATTTTCAGAGCCTTTATGCTTTTACAGGAATTTTGCACAACAGAGTGGGGCTTCATTTTCTATGTCTGCAATGTTTTTCTGTCCCTGTAAATAACTGGCCTATCCAGGCTCCTCTCTGAAAAACAGAGCACTCAGGATTTCTAAATGATGGTAAAATTGCCCACCATTAGTTTCGCCAGAAATTCACACTGTGCATGCATTTCTGGTCTGCAAACACACTTAATATGAATGCAAAACATCTTCATACAAGAATCAGGGAAAGGGAAAGGGAAAGGGAAAGGGAAAGGGAAAGGGAAAGGGAAAGGGAAAGGGAAAGGGAAAGTATTTGAGAGACCTTTGATAAATCTATCCATACACATAACCAGAATGATCTAAAACATATATTTTGGACAGTAAGATATGCAAAACCTTCACTCAAATGTAAATATTTGCTTTATGTGAATGGCATGTTTTAATCATGGATGACAGCAGACAATCTGAAATGACTTGGTTTTTTGCTATTTATATTAAAGAGAATGAGAAGGTAGATATTGGGGGGTAGATTTTCAAAGACATATTGGCATTATTTGTGTAATTACTTGGAAATTTCCATATAGATGCATTTTAAAATACTTCTGAATCCTGGCATAGACTCTGCAAGTCCTGTGACTTAAACTTTCTTTAGAATCCAGTTCATAAGAAAAAATCATGAGAAAAAAATTCATAAGAAAATCGAGAGGCTGTGTTAACCTAAAAATCTTACATTTTTAAATCTTTCCCAGCTAATCTATTTCACATGCCTAAAGGGTTTTGCCCACACCAGTATGAATCCACTCTTCTTGGACCTCAAAAATCCTCAAGAGAATTTTATTTGATAATAGACCTTTGAAATTGGGTAAAAACTTGTCTAAAGTCCTGAAGAAGCGTGCTTTTACAAGTTCTGCATGTGAAGGAGTGTTTTGGCAGAAGTACTCCTGTCTCTGAGGCTGGGATTAATTTAATTTAATGAAGTTAGTTGGGTTGGCAGTTTCTGCTAATCACCAGGGCTCCCTTGTCTGGCTTCACTGGTTAGAAATAGGCACCTACTGCAGACATGGGATTAATTCCTTTCAGATATTCCTTCCTGCCTCTTTTTCTCATTTTTTTAATAGGAAGAGTGCAACTGACAAACTTAACTGGATGCTCAGCTTACAAGTAGACAATGTTAACGCAGATCATCCCAACATATGTTGTTATTTGTAAGGCATTAAGCACTATGTGGTGACTGGGCACCATGAGATTTTTGAATAGGTCAGAAGTTCCCAGAAGTGCCTCCATGAACAAAACTTTAGGTCAACACCCACCATCTGAATTTGTTATCCACTCTGCAAAAAAGGGTATCATCACTATCTTTTCAAGAACACTGTGCCTGTAGCTCCCAACTCATAAGGATTATCTTGTTCTCCATATAAGCTGTTTCAGGAAGAAACTTGTCTGAACCAAAATCTGAAGCTCCACACAACATCTGCAAAGACATGAAGCTTAGTTTGGAACAAATTCTTGCTCCATCAGCAAGTGTGCTCATCTGAACACCAAATGTGTATTTGAAAATCTGAGAAACAGGCAGGTTCTGCATTGACAGGTGTGTATTTGAGGGTCTAATACATTTAGTAAGATTCATCCAGGAGTAAATTTTTCATTGTTGGGGCAGGACCAAATTGACTAGGGGTTTTATCATATGTTCACCACATCTTTTATTTTCATCAGCTGCAGTTTGGCTTGCCACAAGTTAATGTGCTTATGCATTAGGTCAGTTTCTTCTATTCAGACTGTTTTAGCACCATCCACAAAACAAGGGTAAAAATAATTTTGGGAAAGAGAAAATCAGTATAAAACCTGTATTCATATTTGTGCTGGTGCAGCACATTCAAATCTCTCAGCAAAATCTTCAGCTGCCAAAACTGTGAAGAAAGATGCATGACCTTCTGCTACATTTCCCATGTTTTTTGTCTTAATTAAACTTGTCATGAGTCATGTTTACAACACCCAACTTACAGCAGTCCTAAACAAACAAAGGCATTCACTCTCTGATGTGCGTGTCCAAACTCACCAGGGATTACTGCTGCCGTTTTCATCACTTCCTGTATGTGGAAAATGCAAAGGCCAAATTTAGAAATGGATCACAAGTCTCTGGACAGGTTGTTTCCAAGAAGGCCAATGAAATCTGCTTTCTTATTTAGTTTAAACCTGTCTTCCCAAGTATTATCTTCCTGGAGACTTTCAGACATGTTTCCATCCCTAAGCTGTTAACTCCTGCAGTATTAGGACAAAGAGACAAACTAACCTAAAAAGACAGATGGGGGATCAGAGCTGCCACTTTTTAGCGCAGAGCCTATGTGTGTGAAACCCAATAGGGCTTCCTTTGGGTACTTAAATCTAGGAAAATGATAAAAAGCAAGATATGCTTGTTATTGTAATAATATTGAGCTTCAAAGAGTCACTACCCCTCACATCACACTTTAATTTGTCCACCTTCCCTACTAAGTAGCTTCAAACCTAAAATCATTAATATGATTATATTGAGCCAAAGAGTTTTTTTGGAGTTTTTCTAAGAGTTTATTTTTTTTTACTATTTGGTCAACACACCATGAAGCTGCATTTGAGTTATCCAACAGTCAATCCACACATATTTCAGATTACAAGGGAAACTACTTTTAAAGACAGGTTTAACACCACTCTGTGTGAAGCAAATAAATCGGATGAAATCAAAAGAAGCAGTTAAAAAGGGTCAGCTATTATAGGGGAGCAAGAACTGTCATTAGCTTGGGTATTGCTATGATCAGCAAAGCCTGGAGATGCCCTCTCACTGCACAAGACAGAAGGCAAAACCAGCCACTGCCATGAAGAACATCATTCTCTGCATGAAGAAAAGCAGGAATAAAAAGTTTGGGGTGGCAGCCAGTCCCCCGGAGGACCTTGTTCTGATTTTGCTTCACCAGCTGCATCTTGTAGGGATGCGTGTAAGCTGCAGGGCTCGGAGCCAGGCAGAGCCATACCCTGAGAATCCCACGGGCATCTCCAGATCGTGTCCACAGCCAACATAGGAAATTCCGAGACCCGACCCTCCCTCACTTCCTCTGGGGGCCCGGCGCCGGTCACCAGCAAATCCTCTCACTTCTCAAGATCTTTATGTCAGGCTGCAGCTCCTATTTTTGAGCTGACGTTCCCCGGGTTTAATCCACTTAGCCTGTGACCACCTTCATCAGCTTCCCGCAAGCACAGCACAAGGCGAGGCTGCGAGATGCTGCCTGCCGCGCTGCCATCCTCCCCCGCTGCCCCACCGCCCCCTCGGGAGCGTGTATTTATAAAGAGGTGGATTAGGAACATTACCAGGCAGGTCACAGGGTGTCAAGCTGCTCTTTCAGGGCTTAAAATCGGAGGCTTACTCAAGAGGGAGTGCTCGGCTCCTGTGAAAGCGGCGGGGATGATTGCTGCGATGTACTTGCAATTTACTCTATTAGCAGCACCGGTGCTTCAGCCTGGAGCGTTTCGAGACGCAGTTCCTGTAAACAAAGCAATCAGGACGTGTAGAAATGCTTTGCTTTAATTTTTTTTTTTTTTTTTAAATAATTGGAGTATTTTTAAGTGCAATGAATGAAATTCAAAAATGGTGCAAATCCACCTAGCAGTCAGTGAGCACTGGGTGATTCATACCTGCCAAGGAGCCCAGACCGTCATCCCCTCGAGCTGGGCACCCCAAGAGCAGTTCTGTCAGTTCTCATGGGGCTGGGGGAGAGAAGAGAGGTGCCCACAGAACTGGCACCTGCCAGATCGTCTGGGAAGCAGAACCCAACACCCGCCAGCTCCACAATGATACCCCAGTGCCTGAGACCACGCACAACCATTAGACACTGTCAAAAACATGCCAGGCCGAGCTGTGGCTACAGACTGTGGAGAAAACACTCCACCTCAGTGCAACATTCTTGCAGCTTGTAAATCAGCAGCAGCCATTTCCCTCTGCTGTGCTGCAGGGATCTGCACGAAGGCAAATCCCAAGTGCTTCGTCATTCTGCTGAGCTCTAATCCCGTCAGCATCTCTGGCCACTCCATCAATCGGATTAGAACAAGGCTGAAAGTCAGAATACAGAGCAGGGCCCGTGTGGGCAGATGGAACCATCACCACTCAGCCGAGCCCCACCTGCTGCAAGCGCCCAGAGCTTTCCCCACCGCAGGCATTTGGGGTGGCCAGAGCTGCAGACAGGGCAGCCCGCGTTCTGCATCACCACGGAGAGCTAGGGGCTGTGTCTTCAGCCCCCTCCAGAGCCTCTGTGCTGTTAATGGATGAAGTGACCGTAGCACGGCTGTCAGAGCCTTCCGTGTTCGTGCCAAAAGTTAGCCAAAAATGTTCCGGCAGAATACATTTTCCATGAGAAAATGCTGCTTTAACAGACTCTAACCCTGCTGGTGGAAACCTGTCAGCTGCTGTATCCTGTGGTAGAAACCAGATGGGTGTATAAATAAGGATCCTGCCTTCATCCTGGGACCACTGGCAGCAAAAATAAAGATCCATTCAAGGTATCTCTCTTACTTTCTCTTTTCCCAAATACAAAAATAATTTCTCTTTTTTTTATCTTTCTGTCCCATTTTTGAAAGTTTTAATTTCTTCTGACACCCTAAGAAAAGCACAGCATATGTGGGAACTTGGTTCTGCCTCCAGCAGCTCATTTCATGATCCAGGTGGGCACATCATTTCCATCTCAGAGAGGAACCAGGTCTATGACCTCACACAGCTTCACCAGCATGGTCCCAATGAGGACTGATGGGCTGGATTTGGCCCTAAAGCCAGTGCCAAGTTTTGCCTGGCTGGTCCTTGGGAACATACACCTCATCATACCCAAACACATAAAACAGCAGGTCCCCAGGGCTGCCACACTGTGTGATGCATAAGGAAGGGCTTAATACCAGACTCAAGCCCCATCATCCCAGAACGCCAGCATGAGCACCTCTACTTCAACATTTCCTGAGGGTTTGTAACATCATGGGGGTCAAAACTGATCTCCCATCCATGAATACAAAGACTGAGACCACCCCTACTTTATCTGCTCCCCACGGGACGTCATATGGAAACCTGTCAGCTCTCAGAAGCTCCAAAGATCTCCACAGTAAGATCCTGTCTGTCTTAAAAAGTTATCTTGAGACTTCATCTTTTCTGAGGGCACTTAGTGACAAGTAGAGTTGACCTCCGTGGCATTCTCTGGGGACAGTCCTTGTTTTTTGCACAAAAGCACAAAAAGACAAGATTAGGTGAGCCAAACTACCATCTCTTAATGACTTACAGAAACCCTCACTCTTACTATTTATAAAGTCACACTGTCTTGGCAATAGAAAAGAAAGAGTTGGCATTAGTTTTATATTTTCTAGATCTGTCTAAATTCTACCTTACTCTTTTTTCCACTGTACTTTTCTTCAGAAATCAGTCCACACTTCCCACTCACCTATAGATTTTTCCCAGTAGGCAACTGCTCACAGAAACAATAGGAAATAAATAAAGCTAGGAGACTTGTCAAGATGTCATGTGAACCATAGCTTTCTCCTAAAATGCCCAGACTCTACCAATCTACATGCAGTCATCACCTCCATACAAAGGTAACAGGACTCAAGTCCTTGAGGACGGGGCTGTCTGCACAGTATGTAGGTGACACCCTGGACAGTTTGGGAAAATCAGATACATCCCTCTTTTCCTACTTTTCAAAATGGCAGTATAGAGAATTAAAGGCTGTAACTGAGAGTTTTCCATAGACCTGTGAAAAAGCCAGCATAATTCACTTGCAGGGAGATAAATTCCACATGAACTTACTCCACCAGGTTGATTCAAAAGTTATATTAAAGAGATGATCCAAGTGCAATATAGGTTATGAATCATTATATCCAGATTTCAGATGTCATAGTCTTCATTATCTCTAAATTGTCTGAAGTTTCCCCACCCCTTCCCCTCTCATTTAAAAGACCTTTTGCTATGTCAAACACTCCTTTCCAGCTCTGCCCTGTAGCTAGAAGCAGTGATCCCGAATGCAGAGCTGACCTGGCTCAAGTCTGACACTTACCCCCAGTGCAGCAGCCACCCAGTGTCTTGTACATCGGGGAGAACCAGCACAAATGTGTTTGATTTGTAACTTTACAAGGACTTTCACATTGAGGTTTAAGTTCCTTTTATTAGTAGGCCTAAAGAAGGGCACCATTAACACATAACAAAGGAGGCAGAACTAAACTTTTACCATAACAGCAGTGTTTAAAAAACCTCACTACTTAGGGGTTTATAAGGTTCCTTGGAAAGGTTATTGCAGAAGCCACAAAATGGAAACAGAGGAGCGAGATTCTCAGCTACACTGTGCCTTCCCACATGCTTTTGGCCCTGCACAGTGACCTGCCTGGTTAAAACACAACTAAAGCCTCTCTTAAGCAACCTGCTCATCTTGGGGATATCCAGGAGCTTTACCTGCACCAGGAGGATCCCCTGTCAAGATTTAAGAGTCCACTGTTCCATTGCTCCAGGAGAGCCTCAGCAGAAAAACTGAAGGGAAAATTTAGCAGCTGAGACAGCCAGTGTTTCTCTCCCAACAACCTTGTTTCAAACAAGACCCTCTGTTCAACCCTTTTTTTCTGTTCTACTTTTCATGTTTTACTTTCTAGGTAAAAGAATGAAGGGTGTCCAGGCCCTGAAAATACACCAAATGAAACATCAAAGTGTTTCAATGTGTCTAAATAAAATGCTGTATCTTTTCTAACACTTTCATATTTGTTTAACATCCTCCATCAAAAAAAGTGTTCCCAAAACTGGTTATCCAGTTCAAGGTCCACACACTCTCAGGCTGTCATAAAATAATTACATCAACAAAAGCTGTATTATTTCAAGACATTTCCTTATAAAGCAATGGCACTGTGTATTAGCAGCCCTTATTCTCTGCAAATCCCTGTCTCAGCTGCAGGGGAAGGAAAGGGCTGGCTGGTCTGGGAGAAGGGACCTGGCTGAGCCTCTTTTAACTCGTGCCAAAGCACATCCCAATGCCTGCACAGCCAGCACAGTGCCATCCTCACTGGGGCTTTCCTCCCTCTCCTCCACTAGCCAGACAATCTGGCACTCCCCTTGGGGCACTGAGCCAGAGTCCCCTCCCTGGCTGGCCCAGCTGTGCTGGAGATCAGGGGGAACTGGAGATTGGAGAGGATGAGTAAACATCAAGCAGGCAGCAGCTGCCTTTCTTTTTCCCAGGAAGAGTCATCACTCTGAGGTGGCATCCCTGCAGGCAAGCCAGATTTCCAGTCCATTAAACTGACTACTTCCTTCATCACCTGTATTTTCCCTAAGTTTTTTAGGAGTTGCCTTAGTCTTTGTGCAGCATGACTTAATCCACCACTTCTAATGATCTAACAGATTCCAATCCTCAGATCTCTCTCCATGATTTCATTGCTCTTCTGTCTCCTCTTTGCCTGATCTCCATCTGACATGGAAAACATCCCTTTCTCAGCCCTTCCTCACCCTTGCCTTGTCTCCTGACCGCCCCATGTCCCCAGATCTGTTTGACAGAAATCCCACCACATGCTCCTTGCACATGTGGACCCTTACCCCTCCTGGCCCCCCAGAACAGGGAAGGACCACAGCCCACACCTCCTGGCTGCCAAGAAGGCAGTCTGGAATGTGAGCTCATGTTTTCCTAAAATAAGCAGGAGCCGTGCACTCAAACTCAACACCTGCGGCAAGGCGGGAGTGGCTGCTAACGCTGTGCAGCATCCAAAGCACTCCTCGCACGTGGCGCAGCGTGGCACGGCGCGAGCCAGAGGCATGGAGCAGCCAGCAGCCTTCCAAGGGTGACTAATGCCTTGCTGCTAAAAACAGCTTCCAGGGGTTTTCCATGAGCAAATCTCACTACAGGTCGAGTATTGGCTTTTCACCTGCTAAATACAAGAGCTTCACTGTAATGTCCACTGATGGATTTTCTTTTTTTTTTCTACCGGTGCATAGTACAACTGGCAAAGGAAACCTAGCTCTTTCCTAAGTGATGGCAGCATCTGATCCTTGTTAACACCGCTCTTAAAAGCCAAAAATATCACTCTTTAAATAGATTATGTGAGAGTGTAGAAACCAGGATGTGTGGTAGACATGCAAGAGAAGACTGGAACACAAAGTATATTGCACGCATGGACACAACCGTACAAGGACCAAAGAGAAGGTGTGGAAAATAACATCCTGATATGGCTTCCCAGAGAAGCACACTGCTGCATCAAATAGGTCATCTTGTCAAAAACACGTGCCACTCAGCTAGTTCACAAAAAGACCAAGCAAAATTCTTCAGACCCTTGTTTCATAAAGAAACTGATAAGAACTGCCATCAGTCCTTTGGACTTACCAGGGCCCATGTCCCTTTTGACCTGCAGGGCTTTGCTGCTCTCTCAGGCTGCTGGGTTATTTCAGCGCTTCTGTGTAAATCAAAGCCACATCTCCAAGAAAACTGAATGAACACATGGTTCTGCTCACTGTGGGGACAAATGTATATACAGTGTGAATTTCTGGACTTATTCAATTAATGTCTTGCCTAAACAG